AGTAGCTCCGACAAAAAGCACAACATAAGCTTGCGTCTTGTTCTGTTTTTCCCCTTCCGCAGTTGTTTCGCCGGCTCTCTACAGTTTTCTTTATCGACAGTGAAACAAACGAAACTATTCCACTCCATTTCTGAAATGTTTTTCACTTTTTTAGTGCGAAAAAACTCTTTGAGTAAAACTTTTCTCGTTGAATGTCGAAGCGGCGCTCAGCAAGCTGCAAGAAAAGGCGGGAATTTTGGCGCGACACTCACACACCTCTGTGGCTTCTGATTGGACGTATCATTTTTCTCACATTTGAAAAAACATCGTTCGCGATTCTGATTGGACGTATCATATTTTTTACGTGTGAAAACCATAGTTCACTCCTCTGATTGGCTAGAACTCATTTGCGTATCAAAATTTACAACACAACTTTTTGGTGAGTATTTCTCAGTATGTATATAATCATATCATCATATCATATCATATCATATCATATCATATCATATCATATCATATCATATCATATCATATCATATCCTAACATCTTCTAGGTAAGATAAACTACATTTTAAAATTAAGACATCGTCGAACAGAGTTCCTTGGAATGTCGATAAGAAAGACAGAAGCTTTAATAGGACTGGACCGAAGGTAGTACTGTAGAATGCGGATAGTGCAAACGATATAAAACAATAAAAACAATGTTTTTCCGTCAGTCCAAAAAATCTTTCTAGGATTTCAAATCCTGTATTATCCGTCAGTAATGGAGAACACTTTTGTTCATTTCAAGAATGTCATCTCTGACAGTTATGAGTAGCAGCAGCACTTTTTTTTTAGGAACATTAGAAGTACCAGCTTGAGTGATCCCAATATATTAGCGATCCGATTCCAAATCTCGGTGGGAATTTGTTATTTTATTTATGTTGTTGTACAGTTCTCACTGGATTGTAAGCTACGCATTGCTTGCATTTTTGTTGTCTTTTATCTAACTAAATTCTACTTGTAAATCAGTAAAAACTGTGATTTATACAGTTGCCTTTACCGGCCTTTAAGGCACAAATTCACCTGGTACCTGTTTATAAGGAAAGGGGTTGGGTGAATCCACCTGCATCCCACCATAACTCACCTCAGTGGTGGTTATGATCGTTAGTCAGTTAGAGCATTTTAAAAATAATAATAAATGACGAACGATTCCTGCTTGCCGCTTTTCACACGAAATTTCGTATAGATTTAGTCACCTGAAGAAATCTTAGGCAATCTGGACCCTGCATTTGTACGACAGGGCGTAAAATATTATTCAATCGGGACACACCTAACAAAACAAACGCCTTCAATCAAGATACAGGCGAACTTTCTATTAAGGACACCTGTACATACTGACACCTATTTGTCAATTGAGAGCGGTCGGTAATAAGCCGTGCCTTTTCTAAGGTTATCGAGGGTCGTTTATGGCAGCGGAACATCTCATAGAGAAGAAAGAGCAAGCAGAAGCGTCGGTGGTATAGTGGTGAGCATAGCTGCCTTCCAAGCAGTTGACCCGGGTTCGATTCCTGGCCGACGCGGTAAATTTTGTGTTCTCGTTAGCCAACCCTTTTTAAAATTTCATAGAGTACATTACGTGCAGTTTTGGCTTTCTTTAACTGTCGTTTTTTTTCCTTTTTTATTGGCTCCTTAATGAAAGATTCTAGCTTAATTCGTGTTATTTTAGTTTTTTGTGACTAGACGGAGAATTTCATGTGGTTACCAAAGCTGTGTATTTGTTCTTTTCTGGTGTAGCTGATTTTGGCTTGTAGGGCTCAGCCTCTACTATTCTACTATTTTGTTAAATTCTTTACAGAAAGTTCAACCTATAGGCCCTCTGGCCTTCTTTATCCCGGAGAGCTGATTCTTCCCCGGATACTCTGTCAATTAACTGTATACTGACATCCTCAAGACCATGGTGTCCCGGGCCGAAAAAATGTCTATACAAAAGATCATCCTTGTTTCTACCCTCAAAAGAAAGCCTGGAATGCGCCCTAAAACGGGCCTTATGATTGTCAAACCTAAGCCTAAATTTTGTTGCTGTTGAACCAACGTACTGCACATGACAAACCTTACAGGACAGCAAGTAGACAACATTACTATTAATACAGTCCAGTTGGTAGTTAATTGTATAGCTCTTTCCAGTTCTGTAAGAATAAAACCTTTCTCCTGGTTCCAGGTACTTACAGTCCTGGCAACTTCTGTTATCACACAACACTGTCCCCTTCGAGTTCCGCTGCATACGCGTTGACAGCCTGAGTTTAGCGTGTACTAAGTAGTCCCCCAGGCTCTTAGGTCTTCGAAATGCCATGAAGGGTACGCCTTTGATGGCTTTCCTGCATTTTTCTGAGCAATGCAAGAGCGGCTGAAGTTCTCGTAGGATACTACCAGTGTTAGGAAGACTTGGATGGTATGTCACTACCATTGGCACTCTGTTAGTAGCATTCCTAGGGCGTGGTGCCAATGTTTCCTTTCTGGTTTTCAATCTCGCTCTCCTAATTTGCTTCAAAACAAATAGACAAATATATAGGTGTATATAAGGTGTATATGGGTGTACATAAGGTGTATATGGCTGTATATAAGGTGTATATGGGTGTACGTAAGGCGTATATGTCTGTATATAACATGTATATGGTTGTATATAAGGTGTATATGAGTGTACATAAAGTGTATATGGCTGTATATAAGGTGTATATGGGTGTACATAAGGCGTATATGTCTGTATATAACATGTATATGGGTGTATATAAGGTGTATATGGCTGTACATAAGATGTATATGGCTGTAAATAAGGTGTATATAGCTGTATATAAGGTGTATATGGGTGTGCCTAAGGTGTATATGGCTGTATATGGGTGAATTTAAGGTGTATATGGCTGTATAGAAAATGTTTATGGGTGCATATAAGATGTAAATAGGTTTATAGAAGGTGTATATGGCTGTATATAAGGTGTGTATAGGTGTACATAAGGTTGGATATGGAAGTGTATAAGTTGTATATAGTTGTATATAAGATGTATGTAGGGGTATATAAGGTGGATTTGGGTGTATATGGGTATATCTAAGATATATATAGGTGTTTCTGTGGTGTTTATGGGTGTATTTTAGGTGTATTTTAGGTTTGTATGGGTGTATGTAAATACACGTCAGGAGCGAACACACACACACGAAAAAAAAAAGAAAAAAATACATGAAGACAAATAAATAAATAAAATAAGGCCCGTTGTAAATAACAAATCAGGTTTTTCTAAAGCGGACTGTTTAGTTGTTCAGATGTTGAGGAAAGGGAGATTAAACAAAATTATTTGTTCTTGATTGCCGCGGCTAGTTACCTAAAAAATGAACCAATTTCGTGATTTTTGCATTTTTTTAATTTTGAAGAGAAATATGCGGGAGCAAAATTTAAAGAGATTTGAAATGCCTTCACAGTCTGTTCTAATACTGCCACCCCTATAGAATATGAGCCAGCGAAAGAGTAACCACGGCCTCTGAAGATCTCTGAAGAAGATGTTTAGGAGAAGACGGAGGAACCAAGAGAGGATAAAGGGCACAGAGAAGGCATCCCTCATACACACCCTATTTCATAGGTAATTCGTCTGGAGTTCTTTTTAGAATCGGGATAAAGTTACCTCGCGCGCTGCTTGGATGTTTTGTGGAGGTTTCGCATGACTAAACGCCTTTCAAAACATGTCGGGAGAAAGGCAATGAACGCGTAAAGAGATCGAGAGCATTCCTGAATATTGAAGCGAAATGAGTCGGCGCTCACCTGGGAAAAGGGAATCGCTGGACTCTTTCCCGTGAAATCAGTTTAACTTGAAGTTTTCGTAACCTCAGTGGTTTAATAAAATGAGAAATCTCGCCGGTCTATTGAAGCCGGTCGTTTGTTCAATAAAGCAAGTAGGGCACCAAGTGTTATTTTTGTTAAATAATAAAAGACTAATAAAAGAATAAATATCAAACCAAAAATTGCTCTCTTCAAACTGTAAATTATAAATGATCCTGAGAGAATATTCAGTGTGTTAAGGATTTCCCCGCTGTATTCTGGATTGTTTTTTAATTTCCGTTTCGCTGACACAGCTTTAGCAGAAATCTCTCTGTAGTCGTTTTCGTCAACAAAACGAATAGCAATATCGCTCTCCGCGTCTTCCGCCAGTTTGTTCTGCGTCAATTCGTGAAGGACGTGTGGCTCTGAGCGTGGGTCATCCACGCAGAACACATTCGCCCAATGTGATTGGCTGTTGTCTAATACCCCTTGGGATCTGTGGTCTTAAAAATAACTCGAGACAAATTACCTATGGACTAGGGTGTGTATGGGGGATGCCTTCTCTGTCCCCTTTATCCTCTCTTGGGAGGAACCTATTTTGACAAATGCCTGGATTCCAGAGGTTTTTTGTTGCATGCGGCGATTGAGTAGTAACGATAAAGACTTGACCAAACCGGAAACCACGCGTGAAAGTCTCTGGCACTTACGGTAGGGACCATATCAACAATTTCGTGGACAATTGAGCTGCTGTATTTTATTTTAGGCGGAGTAACATAGATTGAAAAAATTACAATCAAAGGAGTTCCTCATTGTTTTACTGCAGCAGTTGAAATCAAAATGTCCTGTGGACTTGAAACAGAGTATCGTTAAATGGAAGAACGTTTTTAAAAAGTACAAAACTAAAAAAGGAGTGTGCGACCACGTAGCATGCAGTATCATTTGATAATTTTGATTTTTTCGATTGATAAACTGGTATAGCTAATTAGTAGGAAGTAGCATACAAAAAAAGTCACGCAACGGCAAGCCGAACGTCAAGAGATGCATTTTTATTAGGGATAGGTGGTGGAAAGGACAAAATAAAATAGTAACCAGGCCGTATTCAAGGCGGCGCCTTTCGACCTCTGCAAAAGGTCTAAAAATAATGCAGTAACTATACAAATAGGCCTTTTTCAAAGATACCATAATACTCTTTGTTATCCCCCCAAAATTGTGCATAAGCATTGTTTTCAATTTCTGTCGCTTTTGCAAAATTCTGGAGGGACAAGGAAAACCTTCAAGTACACCCAGGAGGAGTCGAACCTATAAACTTCTGGTTACTAATGCAGATGCGGCTTTACCACTAACTACAGGAAAATTGTTGGAGCCAAGGTCTTTAGACTAAGTGGCATTTTAAGGCAATACATTGTGTGAGAGCAACGGAAACTACTTTTCTTGATTCCAAAAAGCCGTCAGTAGTAGTGTGCGTGGCCCCATGGTGTAATGGTTAGCACTTTGGACTTTGAATCCAGCGATCCGAGATCAAATCTCGGTGGGACCTATGAAAATTTTTTATGTTGTTGTAGCCCTTTTTTCCGTCTCCCGTAAAGAATTCCATCAACAGTGGTATCGTCTGTAACTTATACTTTTAGTTTCTATATCAACTTGAACTTCTTTTTAAAGAAACATTTCTTTCTCAGTGACATTTTATTGCTTCCTCGTTTGCTTAGGTTTTATCTTTTAATTTTTAATTTCACTTTTTGATTACCAAAATGATTTTTTTAACTGTTGCGTTTCTCAACCTTTTAAGGAATGTCAAGGATCAATTGCATAGTAGGAATACTCCTTTAATTAAATTCCTGCATGAAACCCGTTAAGGTGAGATTAATGGCCAGTCTCGTTTAGTCTAAGACCCTGTTTACATGGAGTGGGGGACCCCGGTCTAGTGCGGTAAGTTTCTTTTGTTTTGTGTCCCCCAGAGCGTGAAAACAAAAGAAACCAACCCCACTAGACCGGGGTCCCCCACTCCATGTAAACAGCCCCTAACTGGAGTTCATCCGATCTAAACGTGCCTCAGGTTAATTAAAGTGAATTTGTATAACACGTTTGTTATATGCTATTGTTATGACCAGCTTTTGTGCTCACGGGCAATTCAAGCAACTGCACTTTTTCAAAACTAATGGTAGTTATGTGAACCAAGAATATGCTGTACGAGGCAAAAGTAGTACTTTTAACTATACTTAATGCCTTTTTGCTGATTTTTGTGATCTTTTCAGTCACCACAAGCGGACGAAAATTGCGGCATCAGTTGTTCGACAATTTTCAGTTAGTGAGGAAAAATCCAGCTCTCATGAGCAGGTACTTTTAAAGACTGATAAATGATAACTCTAGTTCGGCACTTCCACACTTCCCAAAGGGCACCTTATTCGACCCCCTCCTCCCCCAATTTTGCATAACCTTTTTTTTCATTTCTCCTGAGTATTACAGCTGTTTCAAGAGAAATTGAAAGCAATGCTTATGCAATTTTTTTTTTTTTTTTTTTTTTTGGGAGCGCAAATAAGGTGCATTGTGGGAAATGTGGAAGTGGCGTATAGGCGCCTTTCGGTTGTCCTCCACACAATGTACAATTTTTACCTTAGACATGTTGTTTGACTTGAAATGTCTCAGAAACTAACCACTCCCTATCCTTTCTTCCTTTGATTGAGAACGCCACTTGAATGTGAACAAGAAACGGAGTAATAGTCCAGTAACATTAGTTGAACCCTTTCAAACGCGAACAGCAGTTCAATAGTACAGATGTATTCTATTTCAAAAGCGATGAGTCTTAACTGTGGAAATGAAATTATTGCAATGCTGTGTAATGTTCCCTGTTCTCAGAAGACCTATAGATTCTGAGACGAGGACGAACACGAGAATGAGTCAGAGTTTCTCAATGCTAAGTAGGTGAGTGAGCGCGCATGAGCTTGCGTCATTTTGGTAGGAAAGGTGGTAGTGCTTTTAAAATAATCGAATTTGGGACGTTGCTTTATCGATGTGCTAAAAACAAGAATGATATATTAAAAAAAGGCTCATCCCACGCGAAAGGTCCCATGGTGTAATGGTTAGCACTCTGGACTCTGAATCCAGCGATCCGAGTTCAAATCTCGGTGGGACCTACAACATTTTGTTTTTGTAAACGTTAACATTGAACTGTTATTTTTTAGTTTACGCAAAGTGACCTGAAAACTGAAAAAAAAAAAAAAAAGAATCGAAAGGCGTTTGGCGTTTTTAATACGATAAGCAAATGAAATAAAAAATTGCCTCTTCCTCAGGAGACAGGTCAGCAATAGGACACGCGAAGGTAGTTTTCAAGATTCAAAAAGAGAAAAGAATTATGCCTCGACCACAGAACATTAAGTCCCATTTCAATACCTGACTTTGAAAAAAAAAGCTTGTATATAATTAGCCTAGGCAGTTGAGCGTCAAAGGCTGCATTTCACTAAGCACTAAGAGGGACAAAAGTCGTCGCGGCTAGCTGTAGCTGAATCCGGCCGTTTGCAAGAGGCATTTAGATCACTCAACAACCGAAATAAAAACAACGATTGTCCTTTAGCCCAAATTTCTTTTTAGTACATCAGTTGAACAGCATTTTGCACTTCAGTAACCATCATATCATATCATATCATATCATATCATATCGTATCATATTCTAGGTAAGATAAACTACATTTTAAAATTAAGACATCGTCGAACAGAGTTCCTTGGAATTTCGATAAGAAACA